CATATATTTTTTTCAATGTAGAGTCTAGATAAGTAAAGAAATATCCCCATAAAAAAATGGGGTTACTAACCAATAACTTCTTATTATTTGGCGATTTGGGAAAAAATCAACTTTGGGCTTAAGTTTTATTAGTTGTTCTATACATAATTAAAAATACAGGGGAGCGAGCTGGCGTAGTGGTTAGGGCGCAGGACTTCAGTCCCTGAGGTCCCGGGTTCGATCCCCGCCAAGTCACCAATTTTATCTAAGTTTTAATGCCGTAACCCCCTAGATCTAGCCTGAAGTAATATGAAATACAATCCCAGGCTCGCGACTAGCGTCCTAGGAAAAAAAATTAAAAATAAACGATATTTCAATTTTGGTTAATGTCAGTTGGTAGCTGCTTACTGGGTATTATATGGCAGACAGGCTAGGTTATCGTGGCTTATACTTTTTTAAGTTGATCGTTAGCCTAATTATTAGAAATAGGTAAGACCCTAAGTACTGTTTATTTGAAGAGACATATTACATTAACACTATTTGCTCGCATTAACTTAAATTATTCTGCTATTATTTGTAGTGTTATTTTTAATTTATTTTCCTAGGACGCTAGTCGCGAGCCTGGGATTGTATTTCATATTACTTTATACATTTCTTCATATCAAATAATTTCCACGCATGAAGGCTTCAAAGTACTTTGTCCACTTTGGCCTCAGGTCTTCACAAGATGGTACTGCAGACCAATAAACTTATGCTACGTTCTGGATGCCTAAAGCAAGAAGAACCGCAAGATTGTGATAATTATATAGACACGACTTCTTTCTTCTCAATGAAGCTTGTTGTATGTATGTATGACGCGTATTATAGAAAGGGGTTTTATAAGATTATTTAAAATGTCTTACTAATAGGTTTGTACTAATATAAAAAATACGATAGGGAAATGGGGGAAATGAGGAAGATGACTTAATAAAAATATGACGAAAAATATGTTGTTTATACTTTATTCTGGAGTATGAAATGGAATGTGAATGTTGAAAGGCTCATAAAATAAGGCATTGAAAAAGTGAAATCGTTTTCTTTCGTACAACAATAAGGATATCATTTACAGTGATTAAAGCAAATTCAGAAATCTTTTGTGAAGTTTTTTCCATTTAGATAAATAGTGTGTTGATTAGTAACATCGGTTTTAAGTACATAGCATTACATATCCACCGCTATGTCCCCTATAGTGAGCCATAGACCCAGAGTTAGCCAGTAGAATAGTTCATACACCACCTTTATACTAAACCCATTGAACACCCCCAATATACCCAAACTGTAGGCTACAAACTCCGCTGGGCTCGTCACACTGTAGCGTATAACAGAGAGAACGCTGTCGTCCTTGTAGCTAAACTGAATAGTGGTATTCTTTAGCATCAATAGTGGTGCATCAGCATCAGGCTTATTCTTTTGATCGATAGAGTACAAAAAGCTCAAACAATCTAAAGGACAGTCACACTTGCATCGTTTGTCTTTGTACTCATGATTGAAAAGAAATTTACTTTGTTTTTGACAATCGAATGCTTTACTGCTGCTACAGATAGGAAGGGAACTGTTAATAATAGCTGTGCCATAATTGACGCAGCTACACAGTTTCAAAGAACAGTTTATCTGACATTCGAAAACACAGTTGTTTTGCGTGTAAAACTCAAATAGAGACAGCGACCTCTCATGTGAAAATACGCAGTTTCGTTTTGACTGTTCTACTTCAGCAAGATCTTTCCTCGCATTGGTAATGTTTGGTGAAACAGAAATAGCTGCTGATGTGCATTGAATGATTCTCTGATTTGGCATGATTGTCATCGATGGGTTATCAAAGTTACTGTGTACAAACAAAATATATCTTCCGAATAGTGATCTTCTTTTTGCAAGTTCCACTTCATGACTATATACGTCGGGGTGACTGTTTGTAAACTCAATTTCAGCAGCAAGATCAGCAAACTCTAATTCCAAATGGTTATCTGTGTACAGCAGTTCATTCCTGCAAAGGTCGTCAAATATGTTCGCAGGATTACAAAAGAACTCATTGAAATCCTTGGGCTTACTTACATCACGAGATTTAACTTTTCGAAGATTTTTCATAGCATTAATAGTCTTACAAGTGTAAATCCCATTTTCAAATTTCTTAACCGGTGCTAGCAGTATTTGTGATGAAGTTGAGCCATTGCGAAGAGTTTCCAAACGGTAAGGAGTAGTAGGTAAGTCGAGATTGTATATTTGTAACGTACTCAGTCGTTCTTTTCCTAATTTTTCAATGTATTTAAAATAATCCACCCCATTGAAGATGCGGTTTGGTTTAATATTTTCCGTATCTTCAAAAAGGGGAACGTATAAACTTGTAAACAAATCCCCTTCATCATCAGTCATTAACAGAAAATCAAATATGATTGGATATATATCAGTTGAAATCATGAACATATTCAATTCATCCTCGCTACACAGCCAAGACGTTCCATTCTCAAGTGACATGCATCGTTTCAAGATCTCAAACCTGTTGTACTCATCTTTCAGCAGCACAGGCTCACAGACAGTGATGGCTGGGAAAGGCATGTCTTTGACATTCATGTAGGTCAGACTTTGTACTATCAGGGAGTTCCGAAAGTTGTTGTATGCGTCTTGGATGTAAATAGCGCTTACAAACAGGGCTACAATGTGGAATAATATACTCACCGAGTTATACAGATCTGGGCAACGCCTCAAAAAAACACTTTGCAACCCAGAAAGTCCCATGTTGTTGAAGAGGGCTTCGGAGTAAGAATTTTCCTTTCTTGAAATATCCTCTAATGACATAGTCATGTTGTCAACCTCAAATTCAACTTCTTTCACAGCCACTTTCAAATTTCTAAGGTCTTCCAACAATAAATCATCGAATTTTTGAATTCCTTCCTCGATATCATCCAGGTAGTCTTCAAATTCATGAACATGTTCTTCAAGTACGTTTTGGAATTGTATTTCTTCCTTTGAGTGGGACCGGTCATTCCCAACAATACCATTTCGGATTTGATGAGCCATTTTGAATACCTACGGATGAAATCACCCGTGACATACGTGACAAAATGAACTACTTTCTTGTCAAGTAATTAAACTTTAACTATTCATTAGGTGACGATAAGAGAAGCTTGCGTGTTAAAATGAACAGTTTCATTGACTAATTATGATGCGAGTTCCATTAAGAATATTTGCTATAATAGAATATGCAAATGCCCCACCACAGCAAACCTGCAGACTTGAAAATGTTTTTAAATTGGAAATGTTAGACCCCTTAGAGTGACCCTTCATTTTTAAGGTCGTGGTAAAATAAAACTAACAACGTAAATTAGAGGTCTATCTTAGCACAGTAAAATATGGCAGTCAATTTAAATCCTTATAAGTCAGTCTTCTGCAACCTTTGCATGAGTAACAACCTGTATTCTGGTACAAATTTTTTGCAAAAAGAATTTTCAATTATAAGCAACAATAATTGACTTATATTTTTTTATAAAAAGGCAAATGATAGTAATTTTAACTGTTCCCAAAATGTTACGTAAATAAAATTGTAGGTTAATTCTGATTTCTACAGATGTCAATTGACCGCCATTTTGTACTGTGTTAAGATAAAGACACCTATTTTGCGTTGTTAGTTTTCTTTTATCACGACCTTTGAGTTTTTATCACGAACCCACGATGTTTGACCTTCTATCACTTACCGGGGCTTAACATTTCAATTTTTTTAGTTTTCTCCGAAATCCCCTATTTTTTGGTTGCGAACCAAGTATCAATTAGGCTCAAAAAGTGCGTATGCCATAAAGGTGTGCAGAGTTTAGTGTTTCTAGTTTGAGCCTTTACAAAATGTATAGGGAGTTTCCAGACTTGGAAATTTTCACTTATGAAAATTTCAATTGACTACCATTTTTTACTTGGTTCAGATAGAGCTTTTAGTTTGCGTTGTTGGTTTTCTTTTATCAGGAGCTTTAAAATGACGGGTCACTCGATGGGTCTCACAGTTTGAAATTTTTAAGTTTCCCTCGAAATACCCCATTTTGAAGATGTACATGAAGTGGTGGTTACGCCCAAAAAGTACTTCATCACATGCCATAAAGAAGTGCAGAGTTTAGTTTTTCTAGTATTGGTCGATAAACAATTTACTTGGGGTCATCAGACTTTTTATAAACTCTGTAATAGTAGAATACTGTATATAGATGAATAAAAAACAAAAATGCTAGTCTAGATGTATTTTAGATTGGGTAAAGTTGGTATAACATACTACAATTTTAAAAAACGTACACATTATCCGGTTTAGTTTGCTCTAAAATTGTAGTTAAGTGAAAATTTTTTGATTGGATTTGGTGAGGCTTAAAATGATCCTAAAATAACTTTAATTTTGCACAAAAACCACAAAAAAATCTTTTGTCAACAAAAATTTTAAGGTTTTTAAAATTTTTGTAAGTTTTAAGACGATTGTCAGGAGGAAAAAGGCGTCCTCCCCTAAATTGACAGAGAAATGGTTTTCAAAATTGGTAAAATAAAGAAAAATATGTTTTTCTCTTGATATTCTTTGAATCTCCGAAACTAAAAAAAATGCTATTAGTATTGATATAACTACTAACTACGCTTACAGTTCCTATTGTTACTTCATATTTTTACGTTCAAAAGTATAAAACTTCAACAAAAATATATAAGTTTGAGATTCTAAAGAAAACACTTTGCCATATACGGAGCACAGCATAAATATAGGATAGTTAAATATAGGTTAGTTGGATCCGTATTTTAAATTACTGTGCATGCAAACCTCACTTATTTCAGAGTGTAGGATGACATTGGATGACCATTTTTTTCCACGAAACAAACCGCCTCTTAGGTTTTGCATGCGATTCCAGCAATTACATGATGGCTCGTTCTTTGACACGCACATCTTCTAACTTATTTACGCTGTGTAATCCAATGTAATGTAATTAGCAGCAGTTTAAACAAAGTCGAACAACCATTCTCACTCCGTAGTAGAAATGGATCCCGAAATTGAACTTGAACTGCATGGTAAAGACCTTTATCCATTGGTTAAGCAGACTTCTACAACCAAAGAAACGCTTACAGAGCGGTTAAGTAGGGTTAAGAAACGGTTGTTTTTGATAGATGGAAGGATTGGCTCACCTAATAAGATCACCAAAGACATGATAGACCTAACAAAGACTGTTAAAACGGTAAGAGTAAAATGTCAGAATCTAAGAAAGTCGTTCACAATCCCGGCTACAAAGGAACAATCACATTTCGGAGAACTATTCAACAACATCGGGTTAAGTAGACGTGCTGAACGAAGACATCTGCAGAAGACCCTTTATAAATTGGTAAACATAATATTCCACGTTTTAGCACTGTTTGTTAGCGCTATTTACATCCAAGACGCATACAACAACTTTCGGAACTCCCTGATAGTTCAAAGTCTGACCTACATGAATGTCAAAGACATACCTTTCCCAGCCATCACTGTCTGTGAGCCTGTACTGCTGAAAGATGAATACAACAGGTTTGAGATCTTGAAACGATGCATGTCACTTGAGAACGGAACGTCTTGGTTGTGTAGTGAGGATGAATTGAACATGATGATCATTTCAAATGATATATATCCTATCGTATATGATTTACTGACAATGACTCTATACGAAGGGGAGTTATTTCAAAGCCTATATATTCCACTTTTTGGAGATTCAGAAAATGTTCCACCCCTTGACCATAATTGGACCTTTAGTGGGGTGGATTATATCAAATACATCGAGAGACTTGGCAACGACCGCATAAGTACAATTCAACTTTACAATATTGACCTTCCAGGAAGTCCCCACAGGAGGGTAACCCTCCGCAACGGTTCAGCATCATTGATGACATTAATATCATCGATAAAAGATTTTCACACGGGAATTTACACATGTAAGAGCTTCAATGCTGATAACAAAACAACTATGTTGGGTTCTACAAAAATAAAAATGAGTAATGAAAGTGCAAACCATCCATTTTTAGACTCCTACCATTCACAATCATGCAATCCTAATAACATATTTGATAGTGCCTGCAAGAATGATTTGTTATATACGGATAATCACATGGAGATAGAGTTTGAAGATGAAATTGACTATCCTATTCCTGAAAGAGATGACAGAGAGATTGACGATCTTTCAAAAAAAAATATATGGTTCAACAGCTACTTTGTGTTTTTACACGGGCATTTTGACATCCCGTCAATGTCAAATATGAAACACGTGAGACTCGTCAAGACCACATCATCTGCCCTTGTTGCAACGCCAGCTGTTACCAACGCGTTACAGGATCTTACAGAAGTGGATGAATCATTACGAAACTGTGTATTTTCACACGAGAGATCACTGTCTCTATTTGAGGTTTACACGCACAACAACTGTGTGTTTGAGTGTCAAATAAACTGCTCTCTAACTCTCTGTGGATGCATTCCTTATGGCACAGCTATTTTTTACAGTTCTCTTCCTATCTGCAGCAACAGAAAATCACATTCTTGCCAAAAAGAAAACCAATTCTTATCAAACCCTGCATACAAAGACAAGAGGTGCAAATGCAACTGTCCAATGGATTGTTTATCTATTTCGTACTCCTTTGGTGGAAAAATTGAGTTAAATGAAAAATATTCAAAGAGGAGAACCACTTCCCAGGTTAGCTACAAGGAAGACAGCGTTCTCTCTGTTATACGCTACAGTGTGACGAGCCCAGCGGAGTTCGTAGCCTACAGTTTGGGTATATTGGGGGTGTTCAACGGGTTCACCATAAAGTTGGTGTATGACTTGTTTTACTGGCTCACTCTAGGTTTGTGGTCTACTATAAGGAACATGGCATGGCACAGGGTGAATATTTAAGAGTATATGATTATTCTATTTCCTTTGAGCTTCGCATACTTATATTATATTTATGTTAATGGAATATTGTGTCAGTGGCTTAGTAATACGACATTTAACCTTTTTAATTCTTGCTTGCTGTTGAAGAAATCCCTTAAGAACTGGAAAATTTACACTCTGGTAATTTTGCAGTTTGAAAAGATCATAGCTTCTAGTTCATTAGGTTCGATTTTTTTCAATATAACGATGTTTAAATATTAGACCCTTTAATCTGCTTAGTGTTGCACAATGTTCTCGCAGGTTACAAATTCTCACAGATAATGCAAGTTATAGTAATTTCTGCCAAGTTATAGTAATTTCTGCCGAAGAACGGTCTTGTATATTCTTTCTATTTTACTATCAAACTGTTGTTTTCTAATAGATAATGTTCATACAATCTGTAGAATTTGATTTAAGTTGTAGAGAACGATGATGTCAGTAATTTCTATATTTTATAAAGTACTATTTGCACTTTGCTTGAAACTCTTATACTATTTTTCTAGCTTTTTAAAGTAAATTCACGTTGTTTGTGTTTTCTGAGCTTTCTACTTATATTCCTCGTTGCAGACTATGTCACAAAACCTAGAACCCATTAAAATGATTTAAAATAGCCAAGTTATAAAATATGATAAATTAAAAAAATAGCCTAGCTTTTTTCCAAAAGCCACACAGTTGCTTTAATGTTGTGTTGTTTTCATGACCAATGTAATTTTGTTTAAATGAACTAATAAAACATCATATTTAATCATATTTTCGTCTTGAGCCGAGCCTTTTACTTTGTTCAATATCCTGGGGGGCTATACGCTGAACCGGACACCAGCCTCGACCCAAAAAAAAAAAAAAAACTGGAAACGCACTACCCATGTGCCGGGCGGTGTCCATACCACAGGTTTAACAAAGGTACAAATAAAAAAGTGGATTCGGCGTGCAAGAAACGAATATATTTAAGTTCAAAACAATCCCATGAGAAATATCACAAATGCTTACAATTCAATTTCCATTAAACAGTTTAAAAGTAGAAAAAAACTTGCTGGGTATTAAAAAAAAATCTGATGAAATTTATTAATTTAGTTGTAAGAGGTTGGGTGCACCCATCAATAGTCATAGAACATAACCAAGTAGAAGAAATAGAAATAATGTGTTTATTTTTCATTTATAATCGTTATTGTAGACAACCTAATGCGGCTATGAGTGGGAAACATTTGTAGAAAACACTAAAAAACAAGATATTTGAAAAAAGATAAGATATTTACAAAAAAATTTTATTATATCTAACTGTTGTGTAGATCGTGAGTATTTTCATAATCTTTGAGTTGACTCTTATAAAGTCATCGGAAATTATGACTGTTTGGCCTATTCGTTAAAATAATGCCTGTAATGCTTCGCAATTGCTCGAATTCGAGCAACAGGTATGGTCGCCATTTCATCAAAAAGTATAAAGTATAAATTAAAGTATAAAATGAAATTTAAAAATGTTATGGTTAGGAAAAAAATGGAAATGATTTTCGTGCCGAAATTTAGAACAATTGGGCTAAATCCCACCTTGAGGCCTCTGTCAAAGGGCGGACTCCTAATGAAATGAGCTTCTAGCTTAAAACTACTTAACAGTAAATTAGAATATATAAAAATACTAAAAACTGCTGGACTAAACTTTCTCAATTTTCAACAATTAATTTAAAAGTCCTAATATCACAGTTAGTTCATGTACAGGTACTCATCACTAGGTGTAGACGGCGATTCATTGGAGTAGGTTGCTGAGACCGATAGCGCAGGTTGCTGAGACCGATAGCGCAGGTTGCTGAGACCTATAGCGCAGGTTGCTGAGACCGATAGCGCAGGTTGCTGAGACCTATAGCGCAGGTTGCTGAGACCGATAGCGCAGGTTGCTGAGACCGATAGCGCAGGTTGCTGAGACCGATAGCGCAGGTTGCTCGCAGCTTGATCCTGGCGCAGCCAAGGTCAGCAGCTGGCCAAGTTCCATCCAGGACGTCTGTCTCCAGAGGTAGAATTAGACCCCATCGAAGGTGAAAGTCTCACACAAATTAACTACTCATTGTAGGAGACCAAACAAAATAAATAATATAATTAATTAAATATATTGATATAACCTTCACAAAAATTAACAACAAAAGGCAAAGATCGGTTGCAGACGCTCTGAGAAACTTGGTTCCGTACAAGAACGAACAGTTGTTACAGTTGTACGCAATCTTCGCATCACCGTGTCAGAAATGCCGGTACAATGACAAGTACAAGACAGACCGAGGGTGGGGCCTTCCCCATTATGTGCAAAAAACCCGAAGTACCCTAAGCCCGACAAACCTGGGCCATGAAATACCTGACCCCACCATTCACCCGTTCCACCCATGATCAGATGCTAGGAATGAGCTTTGCCGCCCAACGTCCTTTTTACTCGGCACCCCACATACGCTGCCATTGGTTGAAACTGCAGTCGCGTTCTTTTCTGGTAGTGGCAGCAGAATCTCTGTCTACTTCAGGTCCCCTGCGGTAGATTGCCTGACACTCCCTATCGAGACGGAATACGTGGCGTTGACACTGGCACTCACCATCATAGGTCGGATGTTTTGGCAATCTGTCTGACCAATATCGTCCTAATTATGATAACAGTCATTTTGGTGGAAGTAGATGACATCTAAATAAGGACTTAGGATGCTGCAAAATACCTCGGTGTTATCATTAAGATGTCTTTCAGCGAGGATATCAACACAGCTTCCAAAGCGATCTCACCCCTGGGCCCTGGATTATACCCAATGTTGGTAGTATGTGTTTTTAATGTCGTACATACTGTACGGGAATAAAGATCAGTCCCACGTCCTATCCCGAAGACCCGATTTAGAAGTTCTGCATAGCAATTGCTTCCTTAACATATTTTTTTTGTTCAGTTTAATTGTCAATTGATCAATATTTTGCCTTATTTTGTATGGAAATATTCTTATTTATGGCGCATTGGAAAACAAACTCTTAAATACTTTCAGAAATTTACTACAAAAACTGCATACTTTGTATAAGGCACATAGCTTATGATATTAGCAAAATTGGATTCACTAATGTAATTTAGTGAATCCAAACAGATTAATAAGTAATAAGTTTTCATGGAAAACGCAACTGTTTTAATAAATCATATTATTAATATTTGACGTTTGAGTTGACCTCTACTTAAGTTAATTATAACAGTGAACAAATCAACAGGTGTAATGCATAGTGTAACTTGGTGATCAACAAACATGGAGGATAAAACAGAAGACGTATTTATAGATGCAGATCAATATTCAGCAACGGAGGGAACTATTCACTTTCAAAGAGTGTTTCAAGAAGAGTATGTTGAAGTTAAGAATAGCTTAGAGAGTATAAGAAGAAGAATGGAAACAAGTAACGAAAGGTTAAAAGAAAACTTGAAAATATTTAAAAATGATATTGATGAAATTAAAGCCGATTGTAAAAACCTGAAAGATATGTCAAACAATCAGTCCAAAGGTCAAACCTTCTACTTTACTGATTTCTTCAACAACATCAGATTGCCAGGAGTTCGAAGTGTTTTTTTGAGGCGTTGCCCGGATCTGTATAACTCGGTGAGCATATTATTCCACATTGTGGCACTGTTTGTTAGCGCTATTTACATCCAAGACGCATACAACAACTTTCAGAACTCCCTGATAGTACAAAGTCTGACGTACATGAATATCAAAGACATGCCTTTCCCAGCCATCACTGTCTGTGAGCCTGTGCTGCTGAAAGATGACTACAACAGGTTTGAGATCTTGAAACGATGCATGTCACTTGAGAACGGAACGTCTTGGCTGTGTAGCGAGGATGAATTGAATATGTTCATGATTTCCACCGATATATATCCATTATATTATGACTTTCTTCCAATGACTGATGAAGAAGCCACGTTACTTTCAACTCTGTCCGAACCGTTTACGGAAAATACAGTACAGATCAACTCCGTCAGGCCAAACCAATCTTTCAGGGGGGTGGATTATTTCAACTACATCGGCAGACTAGGAGAGGAGCTAACTAATACGTTTCAAATATACAACCCTGACTTTCCCAACAGTCCATACCGTTCGGAAGTTCTTCGCAGTGGTTCAGCTGTACCAGAAAGACTTCTAGCACCGTATAAAATTTATGAAAATGGAATTTATATCTGTAAAACAATCAATTCTGTAAGACGTAGAGGTGCTAAAATGAAAGATAACGACTCAAATAAAAACAGTATTTTGCCTTCTTTGGACTGTGTCCCTGAAAATATATTTGATGACGTATGCAAAAACTACCTGTTGTTTACAGACAATCATCTGGAGTTAAAATTCAATGATATTGACGTTGAAACTGAGTTTAGGAACTACTTGCTGCGTATAAGTTATTCAGAATTGGCAGTAGATGATTTTGAACTCTCAGATAAGAGAGTAGAATTTCAACGATATATTGTGTTTGTGCACAGCAATTTCGATCATCCGTCAATGACTGTCACGGAGTATCAGAGGATCTTAAGAGGGTCCGCAGCAGCTATATCTATCACACCAACGGTTACACATGCGTTGAAGAACCTTGCTGAAGTAGAGGAGTCAAAACGAAACTGCGTATTTTCACACGAGAGGTCGCTCCTTCTATTTGAGGTTTACACGCACAACAATTGTGTGTTTGAATGTCAGATCAATTGTTCTCTGACTCTGTGTGGCTGCATACCGTTTGGAACAGCTATTATGAACAGTTCTCATCCCATCTGTAGCACCGTGAAAGCGGATACTTGTCAAAAGGAAAATAAAGCGTTGATCTTCCATGAATTTCATGACAAACGATGTAAGTGCGATTGCCCTTTGGATTGTTTTACGATTTCGTACTCAACTACTGTAGACGTTGACTATGGAGCACTGAGAAATACCACTCTTCAGATTAGCTACGCGAAAGACAACGTTCTCTCTGTTGTACGCTACAGTGTGACGAGCCCAGCGGAGTTCGTAGCCTACAGTTTGGGTATATTGGGGGTGTTCAACGGGTTCACCATGAAGGTGGTGTATGACTTGTTGTACTGGCTCACTCTAGGTCTGTGGTCTACTATAAGGAACATAGCGAGGTCCCCATAACTAATGGCTATAAATAATAGCGTCCGTTTTGTTTAGAGTGTTGCTGCTTCCTTGATGTTTTATTATTTTAATATGGCTATTAAGCTCATCTAATGTACACACTATTTTAGTTTATTTTACTTTGTTGCACCATAAACCATCTGGAGATGGAAAAGCAGTAAAAAATTGTGTTTTAAAGTCAATGTATTAGTGTAATAAATGATTAATTGTAAAGTGTTATGTCCATTATTACAATATCCCTTATATCTTTTGTGTTGTACTAGGCGAGCTTAATCAAATTTCCAACGCACGCAATACAATTGAAATAAAGAAATGTTAGTGCAAACTTAATATAAACACAAATTCTTTTGTTGGAATGGTTTGGTTTTTGTATTGTTTCAAACATATAATAAGCCATGTACAAAATAAACTAAAAGCCGTTTGGAGGATAATGTGAAGTACTAAATTAATTGTACTTTTCACTTCTTGTATTGACAGCCGGATCAATCAAATCAGTTAAGTAATTAAGTAATTAAATTTGCAACAGGCATTTAAAAAAACAATAGCCAAACAAAAGTTGTAGTTATAAGTTCATAAAAAACAACTTTTCTGATGCTACAGTCTAGTTTTGGAGTTAGTTTAAATATATGACAGTTGTATTGGTTTGTCGATTTGTGCTAAATTTATTTATAAGTTTTTTTTTCTTCGTAGACAATTTGATACACCCTGTATAATTCCATTGCGCAGTTTGTAAAAGAAAACGTCATCCTTTGACGTGTATTAAAGTTGGGAAAGCTTTTCCTCATAAATGGAAAGTTCTGTTGGATCAGATAAGCGGAAAATCCACTGAGACTTCTACAAATCTTCCTGACAGACAAATGGATTCCTGAAGTTGTTGGTTTTATCAGTTTTATACATTTATACACTTGTAAAATTATCAAAAATATCAATCCATCTTTCTATATACTAAATAAAATGACGGGGTACTCAGTTACATTCCTTTTCGCGCGCCTTACCGAGCCGATCTTTACGATTTAGGTATCATTTCAAAACACGATCTAGCAGAGTGACGAATTTAACCAGAAATTTTATTTCATTTACGGCTACGCCCCTCTTGTTCAGTTATTTAAAAGGCAAGCGAGCTGATGTGTGAGAGGGAGAGTGACAATTCCAATATGTCCAACAATACATTAATACAAATTAATAACTTTTGACACTATACATATAGAGTAAAGAAGTGATTTAAAATTAATTATTACTGAAAGAACTCTCAACTTCAGTTCACATTAAATATACACAATAACACCAAGTTGTTAAATATAACGATTTTCATTTATTAAGAAGTAAATATTGTTTGTTATAAAGATGTTGCTTTTGAATTTATATCAATGTTAACTTTTTAACGTAAATTAGGTTATGTACGAAATTTAAAATGTTTCAGGGGGGAAGCCTTTTTTTGTTAAAACAATACTCTTAAATCGTCAATAGGTAATCTTACTAATATTATAAATCTGAAAGTTTGTGAGTTTGTGTGTATGTTTGTGTGTATGTTTGTGTGTATGTTTGTGTGTGTGTGTGTTGCTCAATCACGCATAAACTACTGGACGGATTGGGCTGAAATTTGGCATGATGATAGCTCACATTCCCGATTAACATTAAAGCATATTCTTATCTCAAAAACCCTTTCGGGCTCCGCCCCAGTGGCTCTGTAGTTCCCCATGTTAATCTTATGATTTTCCATATTTAAAAGTAATTAATAAATCTTAACAGCTGTTTCAATTAATCAAGTTGGTTCTGTTCTATGATGTTCCATAGCATTAAAGTTACAAGGATTACCAACAGGGTGCAGCACTATTATTTTTTTTAATTTATGACAACAGCTAATTTCCAACCAAAAGGTGAGTGAGCGTAGCGAACGAACTTCAACCTGGAGGCGAGTTAGCGTAGCGAACGAGCTAACCTGAAGGCAAGTGAGCGCAGCGAACGAGCTCCAACCTAAAGGTGAGTGAGCGTAGCGAACGAACTTCAACCAGGACGTGAATGAGCCATGCGAATACTTATGAAGTTAAACGGGGCGAAGCCCGCGGGTACAGCTAGTCCAACATATGTAACATAATGTAGACTTTAAACAATATTTCAAATGCCACCGTTAGTTATTCATAAATATGTTTTTAACAACACGACGAGACAAGCATTATGTAGGCTGTTGTGGACATAAAATAGAAAAACATGGAAATATGAGGAAAACATGGAAATATACTAAATCAGAAGGAAAACAAAACATGCATTATTTATATCCAGCAGATAAATAACGCCTTTGCCACAGAACTGGGTGAGCATTAGTTATGGGGCGAAGTGTTGTAAAAAGCTCCTTTAAATATATATTTGTTTTATTTCAGTAATAATATATACTTTTGTATTACCTTCGCCATACGTAAATATGCAGGGTAGCAATTCACATAGTTTTCAATTACTAATTATAATTTATGAAAATTATAATTTTGCGAAAAAAATCCAAACATAAAAGTTATTATCATATTTTGAATCACAAAGAGAAAATCATTCTGAAATTAATGACGTCAAAATTGATGTGGCATTGTTAATTTGAGATGCATGATTGGTTTGGTTAGGTTAGGTTAGGTATTAGTTTTTTACCGACAAGAATCATAACTAACATTAATAAATCATTAGACAGCTGTTGATAGTAGTTGAAAATAAAATAAATATTTAAGTGAGTTTTGGTGTGAGGCGTGTCCGTTAATCTAGGTCTTCTTTGAGATCCCGTCCCGGGAAAGGTGGCTAGTTCAAATCTACCACCACCGATGAGATTTTATGTTAATTTAGTCACTAATACTCTAGTCTGTTCCTTCCTTATCAGACAATTGGTCTTCGTATAGCTGCGAACAACAAATCTGATTAAACAGGTTAAGTTATTAAGGACTTACCAATAACTTGTTACCAACAAAAAACTATCCAAAAATTTATATAGCCTTTTAAAATCTTTAATAGGTTTTTTTTGTATAAACTTAAATTTGAACATGTTCAGCTGTGAAACAATTATTTACCCTAACACTAATATATTATCATATTACTTTTGTATGTTTAGTATTTATTTTTACGTTTTTGTTTCAGAAGTAAGATATCTAAAATTGTGAGTTGTGATTACAAATATTACTAAAAGATCTACTAAAGTTTCTAACCTCAGCATTGTGGGTGTTATTAAATGCATTGGATGTAAATAAAAATACGTCTAATATTTTACGTGTTTGTTTTTTGACACACTCATAAGACGGTAAATACATATAAGATATTAAGTGGGGATTGATTTGGATTGAACTCTCCAATCAGCAGACAGTAGGCGAATCAGTGATTTTTTTGTGTCTGATGAGCTTAAATAATAAATAATTAACTAAATATGTTTTATCAAGTATTTAAATCTACATTATAAAATGCAAAAATACTTTTCAATAGATGTTTACGTTTTCCTGATTAATATAAACTAAAAGGACCAAAACATGTTTCGTTACTATTCGTTATAATGATTAGGTCTACATGAAATATTCAAATATGAAATGTTCATTTAATTCTTAAAAAGTAGTTTTAAAGATGAAAGATTTTTCAAATGAATACAATTATAAATTTTTAAATTAATATTTTATCCATTTTAAGATTTTTGTAAATCAGATTAGTAAAATAAAAAATAACGCAAAGAATTGTAAAAAAATGCGTTTGGTCCATGTAAATCGAGTTCTTTGATTTACATGTATTTAATTTAAAAAACAAATTCATGCAACATGAACTTCATCAGAATATTGGAAATCTTTTAAATATGTTGCTTCAAACAAAATTTACTAAATAATTTTAAAATCAAGGCCATCAAAAACTGTTTATAGTTCTTCACACTAGCTATAAAATTTCAGAACTTATCTTTGATTTTGTTTCATCAATTTTATTTGTTTATAACAATGTTTTATAACTTTTAAATTAATAGGTGGGAACGTGGTAGGTACCAAATATATAGCATCTCATAGTTATAAATAGTTTAAATAGTCTTAAACAGAATATTCTCAGTACCCTAACGTACAAAGAGTCGTATTTGATGTAAAAGCCAAGTTGTTAACATTTTTACGACCTATCGTAGCATCTTGTGTAGAAACATAAACATTTATTACATAGCTTGCATCCTTATAACACGGTTGTCGTTCGCTCCATTTTTTTTTGTGCAAAAGTTGAGCGTTTATGAATATTTAATTTTTGTCACCTATAAATAATTTAAGGTATCACACAACAGTTATTGTTTAAAAAAACACAGGGGCCAAACTAGGAAAATGTATCAAACACAAACTAACATGGCTTGTATACTTATTTAAATAAAGTAAAATTTTTAACATTATTTAAAAAAAAAAACACAAATTTTACCTTTTTCTTTTCAAGTGATACAAATAATTATCTAGAGTTTTTATGAAACTGATTTGTAAAATTAAGTTTATCTAATGCACACAGTTTTAAGGGAACGTTTTAAATAAGTAAATAAGTAAATATGGCAAGAATATAAATTTTTCCTGCACCATTTAAAAATTATTAGTACCTTTCCTGTAATTTGTAATAAATATTTTTTTTTTTACTAGCAATAGAAAATCTAAAGAACTTCTCCCAGTTAAAACAGCGTAGTTTAATTATGTGTAACTAGAAATCTTTCATTAATTTATTTTATTATTTTTTAAGTCATGTTAATACAAAGTAAAACTATTTTGGTGTAAAAATTTAGGTAAGTCAAATCATTGAAGCTTTTGCGGTTGTTAAAATTGCCAAGGACGGTAAATAGCTTGGTACCTATGTGGAAAGTTGCAAATAACATTCTGTTTGTTTGTACTTTAGTCGTAAAAATGTGTATAACCATTTTACACCTCAAGATTCATACACAGCTCTTAAGAGTTTGTCTATAACTAAGTATAACTTTACAGCATGGGTTAGTGAAAA